CAAACTCTCTTAATTCAAACTTCCGGATAATTCGAACTAACATGCAGATCGCGTCCTATGTGTTTCTAGAAAGGGGGAAACTCCCGGCAATTCAAACTTTGCATCGTTCAAACAAAGTTTTGGTTCCCTCGGGTTCAAATTAACGAGATACCACTGTATACGTTCGCTTCGAACATGTGTGCAAACAGTGTGTGTATGTACAGAGGCGACACTGTTAGTGCGAACAAGTGATTGCCGGTTTGTCCAGTTTTTCTCTTTTAAACCAAAGTGATGTCATCCAAGTCTTTATTGCTACAGAAAGAGCTCGTTTCGTTCTATAATGTAAGCGAAAATATTTTGTGCTCACTAAAACTAGAAGAAAAATGCGAAAATGCGCCGATGTCGTCTTCGCGCTTTCAGTGTCGCGATGTGCACGTCATGTACGAGGAAGAAACACGCCTGAGAAACTGTTTGTGCAGACTCTCCTTTTGAGCGATGTGTTAGCAGTGTCACAGCGATCTTAAAGTAATCCTGCAATCTCAGTAAACAAAACGAAAATATCTATCCTTTTTTTTTACGAATATAATCGCGTAATTATTGGCGCCTGTTATCACACATCACTGTCCTCAGCGTGTACAACGTTGATTGGAAAAAAAAAAATCTTGAAAGACGTTTACAAATCTTTACAATGCGAAATTTGAGCGCAGCTTTTGAGGTATTTTGATTTTGCGATATACCATGACGAGAGGGTGCGCAGGAGGAGGAGCGGAAAATACGGAGGACCCTCCCCTCCCCCTCATCTCCTCCATAACCTCCTCTCCTCCCACAGTTTCCCCGCTAAATTTAGCTGGAAAACTAAGTTACCTCAACACCAATTCAGTTTCCCCGCTAAATTTAGCGGGGAAATGACGTCACATGACTTCGTGTCACGTCCCCTATGAACGGATTCAGTTTCTCCGTTAGATTTAGCGGGAAAATTGACATCCCGTGACCTCAACACCAAATGTATTTCCCGCTAAATTTAGCGGGGAAACTGAATGCGCAGTGTTGCATTATGGGACGTTATAAACCTACACGTCAATTCAGTTTCTTCGTCGAATTTAGGGGGGAAGCGGATTAGTGTATAGGTAAACCGCGGCAACGAGCGCCTAAGAGCTGCGCTCTAAAAATAAGAATAATGGATACCGGTGTTGTTATTGCACTGCGGGGTAGAATTAGAGTACTGCTCCCAGGCACGTGTGTGAGGATAAAGAGACACTGTTCGTTTCAGACTTTTTATTAAAAAAAAAATAGCATGGGGCATTCGTGTGTTGGGAATTTACCACCTTATTATTACACCTTCCTGCGCGCATGCTGCACTAAAGTACAAGGTACAAAACACGTGTTTTGCTGCTCATATGTGACTGGAGTTTTCTGGAGTCAACATTTTCAGTTTTTCTTGCTCCACGAAGTTTGGCCTCGCTTCAAGAAAACATATAGAATTCCTGACGCTATGGTACGCACAAATACTTTACGCGGAAGTCTACCACCGTCAGTCTCTTTCTGAATTCTTTTTACGGAGTGTTCAAAATCATATCTGGGCAATGAGAAGTCAACCATGGCTGTCCGTTTGTGTGCTATGGGGGAGGGGGGAAATATGGAACGAGAAGGGAGGAAGCTGTACTCCGTTTCAACTAATTACTACGGACGGTGGAGGAGGGAGGCTACGAGTCATTGAAACCAATCCAATGGCGTGAGAGCGTTCCGTGATTTTCGGGAGGTGAGCGGATAAACACGGGGCGAGAAGTCACGTGATAGCTTCACAGCATTTGGTTGGCTGGAGTGGCTTGTAGGGCCCCTGTTGCCCATCGTAAGGTGAAACGAAGTATGGTGGGAGTCCGGTCTCAAGCTGGGAGTGAATAGCAAAGACCGGTTTCACACAGTGTTGTTTGCATCTTCCTTTTTGTTTGCCGATAAGGTTATTGACGTGTCACTTGTGTACATGTTGCCCTTTGCTTTGATTTCAAAAGCCTCGTGGAGCTCCCTGGATATCTTATCTGGGCATCTGACCAGAAATGTTACGTCTTTAAATGACGGGGAGCAATGGCAGCGGTTGCAGTGTGTGGCCAGATGTCCAGATGGGGCTGCTCGTGTGGCCGCGTCATGATCACGTTCGCGATCGTTGAAGCATCGGCCACTACCACCTCGAAGCGTCATGTCAAAAAGACCTTCGTAGTTTTCTCGTGCGTGTGATTGTGCGTGTGGGTTTGTGTGTGTAAGTGTGTTTGCGCAAGCGGATGTGTGTGTGTGTTTTCCTTATTCGCCGCAGTTCGAGCTTCAAATTTAAACAGAAATACAAGGTCTGCAAAAAAAAAAAGGGAAGCACAGTTTGAGCGTCGGCTAGGGTGGTCAGATCGGGAACATGAAAGAAACGCGAAGCAATGTTTATGAAAAAAAAGTTTTCATGCAAAACTAGCAGCACCACCACAGGGTTTACACGACATCAGGACGACCCCAATTCTTAACATTTTTTTTTGCGTCCTCATTAGTAGCGATAACGTTCCAAAGATACAACCTTGACTGTTGCAACAAAACGTTAAGAAATGTGTAATATTTTTTTTTTAAATCTATAATCTTTTTTTTTTACCAAACAAGGGCTTTAGCTATTATTAAAAAAAATTTACTGGTGTAATCCAATAACGGTGTAAAAATATGAAATTCCCTGCAATATGACGTTCTGCATTCAGCTCATCTTTATGACTTTTTGGCTGAAATACCTTCATCGGGTATAAAAATGCGAATCATGACAAGATGACCTGCGAAATAAAGACGAAGATAAAAAAAAACTCTAACGACCGGAAATTTAGGCCCAAGAAGTGTGACGTCAAATAGTAAATCAACTAATTGACTTTTTGACTGAACCACCTTGTAAAGATAGTAAAAAATTGTCTCGAAAACAAACAGCGGAGACAGGGACATGATTCTCAGTTAAACGCATCAATTGGACGCACCCACTGCATCAATAATGAATGGCACAGTGCTGACTGTGCCATTCAATTCACCTGATCAATTCACCTGAAAACAATCGGCGTAATTGGTGGAGTCGAGTCCACGGGGTGGCTCGGTGGCCGAGGGTGTTCACGCGCCGCTCGGGGCCCGCTGGAGCGAAAGCTCACGCTGCAGAATGCAGAGGTTCTGCGTTCGATCCCCGACCGTGTCACTATTCAATTTGGATGAGTATCGTACCCGATGCGAGGTGCACGCGATGTATAGCAGTCATATTGCACTGTCTAAGTTTCTCATCTACAGTGGCGACACCAGTCGCCCCTCAGGACTGATCAGCGTTTTACTGTCTAATCACCCTTGCAACACAATTATTCTTGAGCCGTTCACGGGCCTCTTTACAGTGACATTTCATCTCAAAAGTTAGGTACAGTGGTGTGAACGCCATATACCACTATATCAGTATCTAAGTGATGTCGGCTATAGGTCTTGGCCTTCTGCGAATATCCGTGCAAGAAAGTGCTAGTTGTCATGCATCATATGTCGTGGCCATGGCGTCAACAAAATTGCCTTTCCGCATGAATAAAAAAAAAATCGAGGACACCTAAGCTTTTCTTATGAGTTGTGAATGTGAAAGCATGAATGTCGTTCTTCCGCTCCCTTAGTTCGTCTACGGCCTAGTGGCGTGGACGGCCACGTTTCAGAACCGCCGAGGAAGCGACCGACGGCCGAGCGCGCGCTCTCGTGAAGTGGCCGCGCCGCGCTGAGCTCGGCCGCGCAGACTCTCCGGAGTTTGCCCGAGCGGGCTGTGCCAACACGACCTAAACAGAAGGCCTCCGCACGCGTCATCACAGTCAGATCGATCGAGGCGTGAGAACTGGGCGCGAGTGCTGTGTCACTGTTAGACTGGGGCTCGTGTCCGATCAACGCGTCGAAGGTAGGGCTCGGGCCCAATAGCCGAGTTAGCACGACCCGACTCTGATGACGTTTTATAGAGGAAGAGGAGACAATGCGGAGGTCTTCTGTTTGTCTAGGTGGTGTTGGCTGTGCAGCCAGGCCCGCACCGCCGCACTTCTTACCGGCGGCCGGGCCGCTGCGTGCGCTGCGCCGCTATCGAGAGGGTTTCTCTGGTGGCGTCCCTTGGAACTACGCCGCGCGAGAGCCAATGGGAGCCTCGTTCCTTGATGACGCGAGCCAGTCGATGGGAGCCTCTGTATCAGATTTCTGCTAGAGACGACAGGCTTCGCTCCGTTGGGACAGGGGAAGGTGCCATTGGGCGCGGCTTCACAGCTGGTGACGTCGGTTCGCTCTATGGGGCCAATTATAGCTTTCGCAATAAAAAATTATTTTAAGCTTAGTTTAATAATATATTGGTGGAATATAACAACATACTGACAAAAGCCATGTGCAACAACTAACCCCTTCAGTACCTTCAGATTTCACGTTCTGACTTTAGATGCCGACGCCGTTTAGCAAGCAGCTTTAAAGGTACGGCAATGAAACGTAATATGTAGTACTCCTAGAGTTAGCTACCACTAGAGTCTGCCAGTGTCCCGAATTTCTAACGGAGAGACTTCGCAAATGTGCATATCTAGTCATCGGGATCCCTGGTTATTTCACTATCCGACGGGAGCGAAAAACACACACACACACACACCAACCGGGCTCGGCGGCGCCAGCCTGCAGCCATGGCACATCGTGCCACAACCAGCCCACACTCCCCGTCGCCGTTCCGTGTCAAAGTCAAGCGAGGGCTTCTTTCCCCAGCGACGCCATCCGCAGCGGCAAGAAAGGAAGAGCGCCCCGTTACCCGAAGAGCATCCCCCTCCCCTGGAGGCCGCGCCACGGCGATGCACTCTTGCAGGGAGACTCTCGCCAAGGTAGATGCCGTCTTCCTGCAGCCGCGCCAAGAGCGAGAGTCGGAGAGGGCGAGGAAGCCCGAGGAAGCCTCAGGAACTAGAACAGGCAGCAGCGGTTTTTCATTTCGCTCTCGCCATCGGGGACGAAAGGGAAAGCGCCAGGCCGGTTAAACGGAGCGGATGGCTCTGTGGGCCACTCAGTCGCTGAAGCAGACACCGACAGGAGTGACCATGTGGTGCGAACGGCTAGTACTCGTCCTCATCTCCCTGCTCGCCGGCGGCTGCGCCGGACAGTGGGCCGTGGTCAAGGGCTACCGCGTCGTCATGAAGGCGGATATCGTCAGAGGTAGGCTCACCCTGCACACCGTGGATTCCGTGTAGTAGCCTCTCACCGACGTGCCACTGGCTGTCGCATGTCGTGTGCTTAGGACTCCCTGAGGAGACATGCGGTTCCCTTTGGGAGCCTTCAAAGATTTCCCCGGTATAACATATTTTTATTTATTTATTTATTGTTGCGTAGCCTTTCAACTCGGACAGTGACATCTTCAGTGATTTTTAGACTCTTTGTGGATACGCCTGTATCTCGGGACGCACAATCAGATATGCGCACGTTTTTTTTTTTTTTTTTTTTTTCTTGCTTCTTTGGGATGTTTGTGATTCTAGTGAGGGCTTGAAGGTGGTCCACCGACAGCTTGAGAAACGCAGGGAAACGAATTACGCCCACGTGTTTGGCTTTGTGATTCGTTCGTCGGCGGCGTTTTTGTCGGCTAACGGCGCATTCTGATTTGCTGAAGAAGTAATACGATGTTCGGAGACTCGCTACGCCCCGTGTTTCTCAAGGCGTCAGTGAAAACAAGAGAAGGGTACTTAGATGTCTACTCAACACAAGTGCAGCTCGTGCTTCCCATGCCATTATGCTGACAATCGTCTCTAGTAACGGCATATGGCTTTCGCGAGTTACTCCTTTTACCGTAGCGAGAACATTAGTTGGATTCGGCCTCTGAGACGACGGAACGTCGGTTGCAAGCGAGAACGAGCTATAGTCTTTTCTTTGGTAATGCCCGAGACAAAGTGCAGCCGAATCTTATCGCGGCTCTTCTTTGCGTGCGGCTATTTTTAATTCACAAATGACCGAAACCTGATACTCAGTAAACGAAGGGGAAAAAACGAAGGAAGGGAGAAACCCACCAGGTGTGACGTAGCGGTATTCTTAACCGAATTCGATGGAGAAGGAAACCCAGCTTAGCCGCGATCGTTCGAAAGATAACGAACTGGAGTGTGACCGAGCATGTACGGTTCCCATATTGTGTGTGTGTGTGTGTATGTATACCTTCGAGCAGGGTGGTCGGGAGTTTTCGCTCTGTGGTAGATAGGAAACGCCAGATTGCCGAAAAATTAGGATGCAGAAGGTTTCGGTGTGCGCTTTTATACGGCAAGTTCCGTTCCAGTACCCGAGACATTTTTCTATAAAAACGGGTGTTAAATCCGTATGCCAGCTTGTAATCACCGCTGCGTAACGCACCATAAACATCCAAAACTGGTGGTCGCACCATCGCGGGGTAATATGAGTTAAAACAGACATCCACGCTTCTTCTGCGCACGTGCCAGTCTTTTTTCTTTTGTCTGATTTAACCGTGGAATGCCAAATCAAAATCCAAAACTTCTGATTTTTTTTTTATTTGAGAGATATTAGAATATGATGGGACCACAAAGGTAGAAAAAGGACCGACAGGGAGTTTCAGCTTACATTGACCGCGAGGGCACATCACGAGTCAAATTTCTGAATTTACCCAGCCTGGCTTAGATTCAATTGATAGCCGAATAAGGAAGATATAACTTCTCGCTTTTTTTTTTTCAGTGTTAATGCGAACAATATGGCCGATAAACTTCCGTCACGTGCGGTTAGCACTTAATAGTCGCTAATAACTTAAAAAAAAAACGCAAGGAGTGTTGAATTCCGAGCATCTTAGTATTGTTCTGCAGCCAATCATATTGCAGGATTAGCCCATAAGAAAGCCAAAGGACCAATCACGAAGCAAGAAGCGTGAACATATTAAACCACGCCCTATGTTTCTTAAGGTGGTAATGACTAGGTGCGGGTCGAACAGAGCTTCCTGAAATGTATTCCGTTAGTGCCAATATTTTCTTAGCGCCGTAATATCTACCTACCATAGCTTCGCACGCACAAGAAAGAAAAAGAGGGAGGGGCGGGGATTTGTGAAGTCGACTGTATTGCCTAATAATCGAATCGTCGATAGCGGCCGCGAACGCTCCTCATGTCGCATCGAGGGCATCTGATCACTGGGGAAGGGAGGGGGGGGGGGGGGGGGGACGAAGATATTTATCGTGCCAAGAAGTCCTCTGGCACAGATTGGTTACAGGGGAGCGCTCACGGTTCAAAAGACCTTGAATTGAAGACGATGAGGTTTACCGACGGTAGCGAAAACCGGGCATGGCCCGGAAGCGACGGTTCATTTTATTGGTTCTGTGCGGTTACTCTACGTTATCGTGTTGGTGTTGTTTTGTGATTGTTGTTGTTGCTCTCTCACTGCTGCTTTTTGTTGTGATACATAATCCTTTCGGTTGAGTTCAGTTGGATTTATTAGCCCTCAAGGGCATATATAATGAAGTGCATTAGATAAAGGGGCAACTAGTAAACGAGATTTGATAGAGAAAGTTGCCAAATTCATTATGAACAATTACGATATTAATTATACAAACAATAAAGGTAGTGCATTGATTCAGTTCACCTATATGATAAGAAAAAATAAAAAATAGACCACTCTTTAATAGTTATTATAAACTTTGATTATGTAATCTCACATTCTATCGTTCCATGAATAATACCCGAGTTATGATTTGTTTTTTGTTTCTATTTTCAGTCTAATATCTAGTAAATTTTCACCGTAACTCTACAGTTTTCATAGTGCTTTTCTAGCGCTCTGATATTACGTTACTTTGAATTTCGCAAATATTCGAGTAAGTTTATTTTAGAAAATTAGTACCTAAATTTGCTTTATATAAACATCGGGCAAAAGAGTACGTGACAAAAATACCTCAAACACGAGCTGTCTTTTACGCCGTTCTTGCTCATCTCCTGTCCAGATATAACGGTTGAAAAAAAAAATCATACCAGCAAGGGAATATAAATTTTTAAAGTTCACGTGTTCGCCCGTCAGCCATCACCCGATTCCGTTTGTAACCTGCAACATTCAATCAAGGCTGTCTTAATTATAGCATGATTTATGACGCTCCTATTTTATTTATTTTATTCGATATGAAGCTTCAACAGTTAATACTTTATAAAAAGGTACCTTACTTTTAGACACGATAAGAATCAATTGCAACGGAGCTATTGCAAATGTTATGTGCCTCACACCTTTACACAACCCGAGCCCAATCGTACTTCAGTGAAATCGGATACACACGTTTAGGAGTGTTGACACATCTTGAAGACAAACGCTCTAAACATGCGTCACGATTGCTAGCTGACTTCGAAAAATTTCGTCAAAACAATGATTCTCCATGGCTTCACGGAACCTGGCATCGTAATCAGTCAATCATTATCACTGTCCGTCATATCTACAACGATTAACAACTCACGGCATCCCCACTCTATCCCATCATTACCTTCGGCCTGAAAACAATCGTCGTGTTCTCGCCCCGACGATTCGTCACAACCTCATGACGGGATGTTTCAATGCCTCAAACGCGCTCGTGCTCGTGCTCCGCTCTGCCATTTCTGCATCTTGGCGCGCTCCGACTGTAGTTGAATGATGCCTCTCTGTATACACGTTCGAAGTCACGCGTTCGCGTGAAGACAAGCGTGCGGTCGAGCAAAAGAACTAGTCTGTTCGCTTTCCATTTCGAGATCGGGGCCCCGACCCAGACGTGCGCATCATTGTCTCTGAGTTGTTGATAACACTAGAGACCAGGGTAGTTTAAAGCGAGGAACTCTTTCGTCGCTTTGTGAACTTCTTCTCTGAAGAAATATAATCGGGAGGAAGAACGGCTCCTTACTGCAAGAGGAAGTCGGCGGCTACAGCCGTGCTTCCCAAGGGTTCACGACCAGTGCGAGACTAAAATGAACTTGAAGAAACAAAAGAGAGAGACAAAAAAAAAAAAAGATACGAAGAGATGGGAAGCCTTGTAAAGGCCGATGTTCGCGGCCGACTCTCCTGAAGCTTCTCCTCTCACGCGTGCTGCGTGGAATAGAAGGCAGAATTTTCGCACGACTGGAATTCGTCGCGGATTATGATGACTGCTCCTAAGAATACGTGCCTGTATCAAAAAAAAGATTGAAACTCGTGAAATATGCACGTTGAGAGAAAGAGAAACCACGAAAGACACCTTTTTTTTCTAAAAAGTTTCTTTTTTTATTTTAGAAACAATAAGGTTTCTATAAAAAAAATGTCACGCATGTCACGTCGTCTGTCGCTTATCTCTGTACACTCGTGGGTGCTTCGGAATCTTTTAGTGTTCTTTCCTTTTGGAGAAACCTAAGGATTGCTCGCTTTCCTCTTCAACACGGTAACACCTTTGAGTCGCGTGGAATTGACCTTGCGGTGTTTTCATTCTCGGTTGGAGCCATATTGACGAGCAAATAGTTCTACGGGGACGAATTTATGTTGTCGATAATCCCATGTTTGAGTTATAATAACAGCACTTATAAGATTAATTAAAGAGTCGCATGCGTACAGTCATAAGAAATCCTAGGATAGGACGGGAATTACTTCATGTTCCAGTGTAAAAGTAATATTTGCGCCCTAACCGTAGGAATCATATTTTTGTCAGTTTTGACTTTATCTAAAATATCAGCTTTTTTCTACACTCTAAGAAATTCCTGCGCGTCTACTTCCCCGCAAAACACTCAAAGGGCCAATCTCTGCGATCTACGAAATCAGCTCAGCAATGGTGAGCCGGAACGTCTGTTTAGACCTAAAAATGAAGTCTGTGCTGTGGCACTACGCAATGCAAAGCGTCATGCTTGCATTGCGGAATGCCACAGAGCACTGCAGTCTTCAATTTGAAGTCTAAACAGATGTTCCGCCTGATCGTTTGCTGAGCTGATTTCGTAGATCGCAGTGATTGGCCTTTTGAGTGTTTTGCGGGTAAGTAGACACGCAGGCATTTCTTAGAGTGTAGAAACTATTCAACGAATTTTAGATGAAAAGTTTGGCAATCTGATCAAACGTGTTTTTTGCTTGGAAATTACAAAAAAAATTACGTCCAGAAAAGCATGATGGCTCAGAAACTTTCACGACGATTAAGGTATCAGCATAGCAGCAGATAACTATTGAAATGACGTCGCTTTCTCATTGAAAGTATATTTAAGAAAGCTAAAGT